GAGGGCAGCAGAATACAGAAAACACAGAGGGGGAGACACCAGATCAGAAGTTTCCCTCGTGCACTTTACAGTAACTTTTATTCAACAAATGTAAAAGCTCTGACAGTAGTCGCAGGATGTTTGGTAAATGACTGTATTAATAGTGCTCTTAGTTAATCACAGAACATTTCTGAGACAGCTAACTTGTCAGATAGCCAATCAGAACACAGCAAGTTCATAATGTAAAATGCATTTTCATAAATCAGACTAACAGTATATGAATCAATAGAAACTAAGTGAAGCTTCTACAACATAAAATCGCCACTTACATATCAATACACCAATGACATGAGTTATTTTACATGTGGTGCTTTTGCACTTTTTGTATCTTTATTGTTAAGTTCCCATTTCGGTGCTTCTCAGCGGGCTTATTTTGACATTTTCAACACTACACGAAACCCATTCTTTAGATTAAATCTTGAAGCACTGTCCCCGCACAGCGAGAACGTTCCTTGTTCAAACCCTCGGTGGGATGATTCCAGGGGTTTTCTGTGCATGTTCTCTCCAGGCGCTCCAGCTTTTTGTTCCCAGTTCAAAGTCATGCTCTGTAGGTTAATTTGTGACTCTAAATTGCCTGTAGGTGTGAGTGTCTGTCTACATGTCAGCGCTGTGATTGACTGGCGGCCTGTTCAGAGTGCACCCCACCCTTTTGTCCAGTGACAGCTGGGACCCCGAACAGGACAAGTGTTTAGATAATGGATGAATGAATGGACATAAGAGTTTTTTGAATACATTTTCTCTTAGGTTGTCTTTTATGTGGGATTCAAACAGGCCACAGTCCTGTAGCTAGTTTGACATATTCAGATATTCAGTGTCAGGATGAAAAACAGTACATTAAGAAAACAGTACTTGTAGTTCACTTTAATATTTCAAGTTTTGCTACTACTCACATGTGCTCACAGTTTGACGCATTGTTACAGATTAAACTCGGTGTCATTTTGCTGAGTAAGGGATTATACTTCTGAAACTTTCAGCATTTTTAACTGAAAAGCTTTCCTTTTAGGGGAGATTTCAAATAAAGGAATTTGACTTGAAATAAAGTTGTAGTGTTATTTTCATTGCTGTTTACATTACAAACATTTCAAGGTGTAAAATCTCTGTTTTTAAACCCAACACCTACCTGCCTTCTGTTCCAAAACAACATCACCCAGATCTCTACTTTCTCTTGTTTGTCTTACTTGTCTCTCTCTTTCTCTCTCTCTCTCTCCGCACCTGTGACGTAATCGCAGCAGCAGGACATCACCTGCTCACCTGGTTGAGGGGCTCATGCTAATCTAAAGCCGCTTAGACTCTTCTTATCTGCTCAGCGCAGGTTATGTGCTTTGGTCCAACAACCAAAATACCACCACAGCATTGGCCTCTTTAATGTTCATGTTTACTCTTCAACGCTCCTGGAGCCCCATCTGCATTATCCATGATACACTGGCCCTTTAAAAAAAAAAAAAGAAGCTTATTAATCTATGGATCTCAGTTGTTTTATACTGGACTGTGTGTTCAAGAGGACGGATAAACAGAACTGTTCTGTATTCTATTTATTGATACATGAGCTGAAGGGATCAATCAGTGGATTTGTTACCTGAGTCTTCTGAAGTCAAAGATCATTAAGAGCTGAGTTCAGGCATGAAAAATATCTGGTTATCGATCAAATCAACATGTGACGCAGTTCACAGAAAACTTGTACCTAGACTTGTTTAATTCAACACACACACACACACACACTCTCTCGTGTGGACATGTGAAAAGTCATCCCATGTCCATGTGAAAGCAGTAATACCGTAATAGCCCTTATCCTAATGACTTAATCAGGAACCCTGCGGCACTCACAGCATGCCTTCACTTCTTGATCTCAGGTTTGTGTGACTCAAGGTCGAGGCAACACCACGGCTTCATTTCACGGTCAGACCACATCTTCTAAAATCCTTTATTTGTTTTTTTATACAGTCAGGAAAATCTTTCCGTCTCTACACAGAAGCACAAAGCCCATGAAACAAAATGGAAAACAAACTTTACATGGATTGAAATAAAAGATTTAGCTTAATTACAGTATTTTGAAAAAATATTTTTTGTCGTTTCTACACTATGTACAAAGACAGCAACCCGGTTTTTAGAATATACAGGTAATGAATGCAAAAGGGAAACTTTAAATATATGATCTGACGTTACGGTTAAGCGGTCAGGAGCTGATATTTAGCTGCCAATTTCATGTCATCTTTGCAGGTTTCACATCCGGTTCCAAATGCCTAACTTTTCGACCATGTGCGGATACATTCACTCGTAAATCCCATTAACTCATTCGGTTCATATTTTTACTCCATCTCAGGAGCTTAGCCAGCCATCATCTGTGGGCGGAGTTGACAGGAGGATGAAAAACAGCTGAAGTCGGGAGGATTTATCGGTTTGTTGGAATGAATAAAGAATCAGAAACTAGCTTAATTAAAAACACAGAATGGGTGGTCTTTCATATGCAGCTGTGGCTTTTTCAACGCACATCACATTTAATTCGATTTTTCTTTGGAATTAAGAAAGCCTCAAAACCCAACAGTAGTGGAAGCAGTACATTTCTTTAAAATTGCTGGATGGAGTTTCTTGGTTGAGGGAAAACCAAAAGGGGAAAACCATGACTTAACTCGTCCTATAATCTCTCTCTATGTATGAATACACAGTTTATAATTATCAATGCAAGGAGTCCATTTGTAGTGAAGGAGTCCATTTAAAAAGAGCTTCATATAGAAGGTTATGTGTGTGTGTGTGTGTGTGTGTGTGTGTGTGCGTGTGTGTGTGTGTGTGGTGTCTACATAAGAAATGTTGGTAGAAAAATTTAGCATTCTCACACGTCCCCTTCCTCTCCTCATCAGGTGGGAGTGGTGTCAGTTTTATTTTTTTATTTTTTTACAGGATGAGGGTTAGCTCAGCTCACTGTCGCGACCGCCGCCTCGCCCTCCTCCACCTTGCTTCCTTTGCCCATAGCCTTCATTTTGTCCATGATGTCAGTGAAGGTCTCCTTCACCGTCTTCTCCAGGATCCAGCCCTCGCTTTCGCTCTCAGGGTCGTCCGGGTTAACCAGGGTGGACAGGGAGGAGTCCACGTACTGCAGGCCGATGGTCACGCCAATCTGAAAAGGACAGGAACACATCATGTGAGAAACCTCGACCTGGGATACATGTTTCACGTCCTTTTTTTTGTATCAATACCTCAAAAGAAGAGAAAAAAAAACTCCATCAACAGTTTATATTTGTAAAAACAGCAACATACAGATGGACAAATAACGTTATCGCAATTCAAAAATGTTGTTAGACTTCAGAAAATATCTATTACTATAAGAATTTGAAGAGTACAAGTATCAACAACATCACATATATACAACGTATAAAAGAGACGCAACGATGAATCATTTGTTAAACATGATTTTTCAGCCACTTTCCCTGCAAAGATGAGCAAAATGTGATCTGGTTCACAGACTGTAAACACTATCCATGTGTTTTTATCATGCAGATAAGTACCGCAGTGAATTCTTGGCGTTCTTGGGACCTGTTAATGCTTTATTCAAAAGTCCCCCAAACGCTCGAACAGAAATTGGGAAAAGGGCTTTTAGGTATTAGACATGGAAGCAGCAGATTCTACAGGATGTCGATGTTTCTTGTCGAGGATCTTGATTGTTCCAACTACTGCCTCCCAGATTTGACTCTTATTGATGGTTCTCTTTGACTGTTAAGTTGAGTGTTTTTTAGTCTCTCTTTGTGTCTCTGTCTGTAACTTTGTGTTTGTGCTGCTGACTGTCTTGGCCAGGTCTCCATTGGAAAAGAGGTTCTTAATGTCAATGGGACCAACCTGAATAAATTTGGCTTAAATAAAATAAAACAATTAGAATGATGATGATGTTCTTCATGTTTGTGAAAGTGTGTAATCAAAGTTTATAGTTAGTTAGTTAGTTAGTTTATAGTTATAGTATAGTTTATAGTTTGTGAGTGTACAAGGGAAATGTGTGAGCAGATGTGACTAAAATTATATATATATATATATGAATAATATCTCAAAATTCTCAAAGTAAACCTGATGAATGTTATCTACTATTTGGCGTGCGAGGAGATCATTTAAGAATGTGAAAATTGATCCCAGATCAGATTTAGAGCTCAAGCTCCAGGAAGTGGGTCTGTCCTCATCACCTCCCTTATTAACCCATTACTCACTATCTGTGTCAGAGGAGCTTGCATAACTTCTCTTTAATCTTCCCGCGGAGACCGTGTGTCTCAAAAGCATTCAGGGTACCGCTTCAATCCAAGTTTTAAGAGGAAGGGGTTTTCTGTTGGACTTCAGTACTTTGGGGATTTCATCTGAATAAAAACGATTTACTTTCTGCTCGAGGTGAATGAACCACTCATCACTAAGGTCACTGACTTCTATGTATCCGTACATGACCCGGCTTTTGGTAATGGATTGCAGATTCTTGGACCTTAACAACAACAGATTTGAGTGAGTGGAGGTTGAGGCAAGGTGCCATTTGGCTGCTCTAGGATTAACATTGAGGTATAAAGTAGTAGGTGAGATACTACAGGTAAGCTACATGGCAGAAAGAGGCGCAGGGATTCCTGGAAGTTTGGCAGGAGGAGGATTGACTTGTTTTGGTTAGAATTCATTTAAGACCTGATGATGGAGGTGAAGTTTGGAAAGATGTGCCGACTGGGTCAAGGCTTTATCCTTCATGTTTATACACAGGCTCTTCTTTTCACTTAAGCAGGCCATATATATCCTCACCTGACTAGAGAATACTCTGGACACTTGAACCGTGCGAAAGATGTGCGTGCAGAGTTTCTCGTAGATCACATTAAATGTGAAAATGAATCTTTGTTCAAAACATGACCAAGACATGAGTGATGAGGAATATAAAAACCTTTGGCACTGATAAGCTGTTATTTGACTTCATTTTTGAACTTTTTATCCAATAAACATATGAAAAGAATTATTAAACAATCAGTGTTTCCATTAGTTTTACGTCTTAACACATTCCACTGAATTGTCAAACTTGATAATAAAGTGGTGGCTAGCTCAGGGAAGTGGCTTCACATTGATCTGTATACGATGTAGGGAAATCAACCAGACATGCATCTTCACCCTTGGAGTCTTATATGGATAAAACCAAAATAACCTGTTCAAAAAAAATCTCACTAAATGTCTTGTCTTTGTCTTTGTTCATGACCCTGATGAAGGCCACAGGCCAATACGTGTCAGCCTAATAACATTAATAAAGTTGATCTTCATACTACAAGTGTTGCTGGAGCTTTTTGACCTCTTCCTCTTTGTCTTTTCAAATCAAACAGGCTCACTGTTGCCCCTCTTGTGGAAAGCGGGAAAATACCACCCACTACAACTGATGTTCCTGCAAAGCAGCAACCTCTGGTGTTGAAAAATGAAACCAATGCTGAGGTGCAAAACACTGCAGTTGCTTGAGAGTCACCCTGAGGCTGTCTCCAAAAGCCAAGAACACCTCATCATAGCCCAAATAAAAATGCCATTTTTTTACAGTAGAATAATAAACTTTACAGCTTGGTACAAAAAAGAGGCCGGGTCATCGTCAGCCTCATATCCATAAACCAATGGGTGATACCACTGAAACTACGACCATGTTTTTCACAGTCTATGGTTCAAATAATGAGTGGTTGTTTTCCAACCCCCTGTCTCCCCCTGTCTTAGATTTTACTTTTAAAGAGAAAAAGCTTCCTGGTTGACGTACAACTGCTTGATCGACAAACGTAGGTTTTACTGATTTCTCCCCTGCAATTGATGAAACAAGGCTAGCTAATGGGGTATGCAGTCAATTCTGCTTGATAGATCAAACATTATTTTTTCATTTTAACTGTTACAAGTGAGTTAAAATTATCACATGAGCTTGCCTGCGAACTTGGCAGATCTGTAAGCGAATATTTATTTTCTCTGACAGAGTTGGATCTGTAACTGACTGTACAGAGGAATGCTATTGAGGAACTTTTGTAAACAGGTTAAAAGTTAAATGTTAAACATTTCAAATGTGAAATTAATATTGAAATCAAACTGGACACCAGGTCAGTTTAAGCACCAATTGTAACTTTTGGGTTCTAATTAATGTCACTAAAATGACATGTTTACATTTTTAACTAGAAGCCAAGTGTTGTAGGTTGGAATAAACATCTTAGCCTAGCAGTCTACGACTACCTATGATTACCACACGTGTCAAGCTTTTATTGGTTTGCTTGCCAGACACATTTTGGTCTTGGCCTCTTGATAAGGCCACATGATAAGGCCTCTTGATAAGGCCACATGATAAGGCCTCTTGATAAGGCCACATGAACATAGATAAAGAAAGCGATAACAAACTAATTTGTGAATATTGACTGGTGACACCATGCTACATATTTGCATGAATGTTTGTGTATTTGTGTTCATGCTCTGACCTCCAGCATAGTGACGAGCAGCACCAACGCTCCAATAGTGTTCATCAAGCCTCCGTAGTATGAAAGCAGAGCTTCACGACAGCCACGGTTCCACACGTTGAGCTCCTCTGTGTAGTGGTCATAGCTGTAATGGGCTGTGTTGTTGGTCATCTGAAACTGGATGCAGGGTCTTGGAGAGCTGGGGTTACAGCAGCTGAAGGGGACTCCATCCATCAGGTACTGTCCATCCACGTTGCTCCCAATGCGGCTAAGTGGATGAGGCAGAATGTCATGTCAGTTTCACTTTATGACGTGTTGAAGGTCAGATTAAAGGTGAGGAACTTGACAGACTATTTTTTTAGTGTGTGTGGGCTAAAATTACCTACACAAGACATGTCTTCTACCAAAATAACTACAGGGTGTGCTATTCATTAGCAGAATATTGTGCATTTCAACTTAACTGCTAGTCAGTGCATCAAATTCATCAAAGAAACATTATTAAGAAAATTTGTTTGTTGTGTTTCACTTGATTACATTATGTACTCTGATAACAATGTAGGTGCCCAGGGACAACAGATGGAAATTAGCTAGCTAGCTAAATCTGGTACAAAGCGTCTCTTCTCTTCTGAGACTAATGTTTTTCTTTTGTACACTGTCCCTGATTCAAATAAACTAATACACTAACTATTCATTCGTTCAACAATAACCAGTGTTGAATGTACATCACTCAGTGAGATATTAAGTATAAATTAACATCCGTGTGAGCTGATCGTATTACTTGTAATGTGTTAATCCATTACCATTTTTCTACCGCTTTTTTAATAGGACAAGTTGTAAACCAACTTTAGACCATGTGCTAACCCCCCCTAAACCTTGAAAAGGACAATCACTGATGTCCAATACTATTCTCCAAGAAGAAAAACATGTTATATATACGACTTTTCCATATTGGTCACATATTTTCTTGTTCTAAACCTTTGAAAGTGGATAAAAAGTTACATTTAAATGGCATAAAAGTTTGCATGATAATGACAATATAAGTAACTAGAAGTGTCTTCTAGGATTTATGTTCCTAGGGATGAATCTTGTGTTCCAGTTCAGTATTGTAATCAGACACCCAGCCGAAAAGTTTAACTTGAGGATGCTGATACTGTTCCTGAAGTGTTTCCAGGTACCCCACTGATTGGAAAAGGCACAGAGTCTTAAAGGACATAGACTGTGTAATCCCTGAGATTAAACACTAATTAGGTGCCAATGCTCAAATGTATTTGCAATATTCCTCACAAAGCTAAACTACACTTGCTGCCTTAAACAGATCAAGTCTGCGTCAATTTGATGGGTGGGACTAGATATGGTTGTCACATTTGACGGGACTTGAACAATGTTCTTCTAATCCCACTTGTGCCTTTTTGACTTCATATCTTTTTCTGTACCTAATCACCCAAGCCCCTCCTCCTCACCTTATCCATAAAACTGCCTAGTAACCTCTTCCATTCTGGCAACGCCAAATGCCACCATTCCTGTGATGCTAATCTTCATTGAACGAAAGTGAATAATACACCTACTCTGACCTACCTTCACCTCAAATCCACTTAGGCTCCCACCTTGATACTCTCAGGTTCAATGACAATCTACCTGAGCCAAAAAACATCCAGTTCCCATTCACCAGGCAGATTTATGATCTCTAACCATCGATAGTTGTTATGAGTAATTTTAATCTTTGTCACTTACTCTTTGACTTCCTTGGCACTGAAGTCCAGGTAGCGGTTGCTAACCCACTGTATCTCAAACCAATCTCTGTAGTTGTCATTTCCACAGCAACGAAACTCCATCTGCATCTGGTCCAGGGTTCTCTTCATGTAACAACGTCCTGGTGTGTCTGTGTCTTTGTAGAACTTCATGCCGCTCCTCAGCCCTTCAGCCAAGGTGAACTGCAACGGGATCCTCATCACGAAACACAACAGGGCCGTCACAAATAGCAGGGCATTGAACACCACGCAGAACACCAAGAAGTTCTTCAACATCGGCTTCCACTTGGCAAACTTGGAAGGGTCCAATGAATCATAGCAGACTTTGCCTCCAAAGGCGTTGATTCCGCAGGCTATAAGACCCATGAAAATAAGCAGATTTGGTAAGAAGTGGCTCTCGTTGTTGTCCATGAGTTCTGATCGCTTTCGCAGCTCAATCTTAAAGAAAAGGCCCATGCTGAAGACAAGCACGCCTGCCATTACAGCAAACCAGTACATGAACCAGACAGTCTGAGCGAGCTTTACTCGCTTTTTCAGATCGAACTTTACCAACATCAAAGCCATGGTTCAACCTGAAGTGTGTCCCTATCTGTAAAGAAAAGGAAAATTACAATCTAGGGCAGCAGGAGCTCCAAGATGTCCAGATAGTTCCTTAGTTCAGATCAATGTTCTTGAATTGGCCAATGCAGTTCCCTGTCTGATTGCTGTCCCGGTCTCCTTTGGCTGGTCCAACAGGACAGGAGAATCAGTTTAACCTGTAATCCATCCCACGGCGAAAGAGCAGAGAAGAAGAACACAGGAGGACCCTGTAGAGCTATTTTTCCAAAGATATCTCCTTTCCCATTGTGACAAAGACATACAATTTCAAAAGGCTTGTTTCCCTAATGTTTACTGGTTTTTCTTCCTTAACACACAGGTGAGGCTAATTGCGATGTTTCGTTCTCCTTGAGAGGTGGAGGATTGCCGAGGATCCTCATGATTAAACTCAAAGTTGCAGTACGTCATGGTAAGCCCCTGTAAGAAGCCTGATCCAATTTGCAGAAATCCCTCTACACAAGATGAGCCTGATCGTAAGCCTCTGCCATGGACCATAATTGGTTTGAGCGTTCACGTGGTCATGGTTGCCTTGATCAAACGAACAAGGAGCTGTGAAGGCATCAGCTGAAGGCTGACAAAGGCCATACCATGCACAAGAAAGTAGAGCTAATAATGGCGCATACTCACTCACAGGAAGGGGTCCACAAGTTCAGCACAAAGAGGATGTCCTACCAGTGGTGCAAATACTCTGTGCTAATCATGCTCCAGTAACCCATTCACAGAAACAAAGAAGCTTTCAGATGCACATTACAACCCCTTCACTGACTGAAAATTGGATTTATCACTCTACAAAAAACAACAAAACGAAATCAAACTTGACTTATAAAACATTTGGGAGGCATGCACAACTTTTTCTTGCATGCTTATCAGTGCAGTTAAATGATCTTAATTACCTCATTCTCATGGTCATGTTCTTCTATGGAAGTTTAATAAACTTTGTTCCTCATACAAACATAACCTATAGTCTAGTCCAGCGCTAGGTCAATCCCTGAATGGCTTATTCTGGCTCCTTTGAACTTCACTTTTACATCAGAACTGAGAGCTGCAGTGACGCTTACAGCAACATGTCGACCAATGGTTGTTTGTACTTGCATTTATGTCTAAAATCGGAATCACAAGTTCATGTCTGTCCGAAAGTTTTTGTCTTGCGTTATCTATTATGTGTAGGAAAATGTAGTTTTCTTGTACTTTGTGAACCACAATGTTCCTTTTTTAACAAACAAACTAATTGTCCGAGCAACTCATCTGGTCTTTTTTTTTTTTTTTTTTTACTTTATAATGTTGCTGCAATGTCAATTAATATTTTTCTTATGTTTATGTAACGCTCGTCTTTTATGTCCCCGTCTCTATTATATGTCCTTGTTTAACTGCATAAAGGGTCAACAGCTTTTAATGAAAGTCCTGAGTAATATGTCGTAACTACTTAACTTTATTGTTATCCTTTATCTGTACCTGCACTTATGATGTCCTACATTAGTTACATGTTGACAATTAGAAAACAATCATTTCAAGTGACAGCACAATAGCGAGTTATTGTCTTTTTATTAAATGTTGATTTGCTGTTTCTAAATGCTCAACAGGAAGTGTTAAGGTGCTACATTGTTCACCTATTGTCTCAGAAGCTTAGTAAAGAAGGCAAGATGAGGTTAGATTAGATTCCACTTTTTTGTCATTGCACAGGTACAAGTGCTGAACAACGAAATGCAGTTTAGCATGTTAACCAGAAGTGCAAAAAAGCTTTAAGGTGCTGGGTATAGTGCAAAGCAAATATAAAGGGACATGAAGGAATAAACTGGTGTATGTGAATAAAAATAAAAATAAACTGTGATAATGTGTAGGATAAAAAAACAATGAAATATTTGGATAATCTTTAAAGTGATTTCTTGCTTTGAAATGTAGTTGTACACATAAAAGGGTAAACATCTGCTTATTTCAGTGGAATAGTATTGTTCATTTCCTGGAGTGCTATTCATAAGTATGTAAACGCATCCTGGATCTGCGTCTGTTTAAGATGCAGTTACTTCTTTTTAATTTGTACAATGTGTAAACAACATTTAGTTGAATATTGTAAGACTAGAACAACGGTGAAGATTTGATCTATGATTAGTGACTGCTATGTGTCCCTCATTCAAATCCACTCTAATAATAAAGCATTCATATTTCCCCACTCTGAAGTTCTTTAAAGCTTCTCTGTTACAGATTTTTAATTATTCTAAAATTGGGAAGGGGAATTCAACTGGTATTTGGAGTTTGTCTGTCCTGTACATTTCCATACAACTTCTGCATTTGAGTACCCTCTCTTAGGGCTGGGGGCGATATGACTTAAATGTTACAATAAAAATGTCATATTAGTCAATATTGATAATTATCACACATTCTTTCTAATTTAAAGGCTGATTTTTGCTCCTGAGTGAAAGTGGAAGATACCAGATTGTGATTTAGACATTCTTTATTGTCAGAACATGACAAACAATAATTGAAAAGAGGAACATTTTACAGTCAAAGGCACAGTGCACGGTGCTGGAAAACACTGAGAAACCTTATTTCGCAATAATTATCACTGTGCCCAGACCTATTCTTTTGCATATAATACATCTAAATGTTGTTCATTTATTCAACAATAGCAGGCTAGCACAATGATTTGTCCTTAATGGCAACAGCCCCCACTACACATATTCTAAACAACATTAGATTATTTAAAAGTAGGTAAATCCTGCATCTGATTGTAGTTTTTAAGAATCAATCAGAAAGTGTTTTACAATTTGTATTTTTTAGAAAGTAGAAAGAATTTCATTTTAGAATTCACAACCTCACAAATCTGTTGATATCTAGGATTGCTCTACAATTCTGATATCAGTTTTATCATTTCAGTCACTATTGCATCAAAAATAAAGAACATCCTCTTTTTCTGGGCTCGTTGACAGTAAACATCTTTAGATTTTTAACAGTTTATCAGGTGTAACAACCCTGAATACGTCACCATGCGCTCTAGATTTTCTGTATTTTCTGACACTTTATAGACTCACTGATCAAAGTAAACAACAGTTAACCATGACATTACAAGTTACAGCCAAGATCAGTTTATTAGGTGCTTGAATATTTGTGTTCATATACAAAAAACGGTGTGCAATAAATCTTTTCAGCAAAATTCCAATATATCTAAAAAATAATGCTGAGAAAAAAGAACGTTAATCAAATGTCAGAGTTTTGCAATTGGCCTCTTGGTTTTCAATTGTTTTGATTCTGTAGTGTAGCTTTAAAAAGTTTCTTAAAGCAGTGCAACATAACCAGTTATAAAAAAAAAACAGAAGCAGCATTAAAACATGTCAAGTGAGACTATTTGATTATTATTGGGAGTGCATGGGCTGAAAACATGTCATTTTGATCACTCCACTGTCTGATTCTCGGGGTCCCAATCGGTCTTCCTGTCTGCCTCTGGAATCACACTCCAGTTAGGGGAAGGCGTTCCTGCAGCGAGCCAGTTGAAGTCATCCACCTGGCTCCAGTTGTTCCGGTCCCGGTCCAGTCCCGACACAGAAAAGTCCTCGTCCATGCTCGGATATGACCAGGAGAGCGGGGCAAAGCTCACTCCATGACAGTCCTCTATGATGGCCCTGCTTGTGACGTGCAGATAGACCTGAGTATCTGTGGTGTTGTGGGTCCGTAGCTGCTGACACGGGAACGCCAGAACACTGCTTTTGCACTGGTCGATGAACACGGAGCTGGACACGGGCCCACACAGGATCTCACAGGTATCGATATTCTTCAGGTGCAGTGTGCTAGGGGAACCAAGCAAGCGGACCTTGCAGTTAGTGAGGTCAGTCAACAGCACATCCTGTTTGCTGATCTCCTCTGCTGTTTTTGTGACGCACACACTGTCCATGTTGGAGAAGCCGCACTTCACAGAGGGTGCAGAGCCACCCGCGTGAGTGCTTGCAGACCCTGCAGGAGTAGGCGCAGGGGGGTCTGACACTGGAGCTTTATCAGTGGCTTTGGTGCGAGCTCGAAAGGCAAACTTCTTCTTGGGTAGACCCTCCTCTCTGGTCTCTGCAATGGAGGACTGGAGCTTCTGCAGAGCAGCCTGGGCTTGTCTCAGATCGTACTGCTTCAAAAACAACGTGCTGTCGCTCAGGAACTTCTGCAGCTGCAGCGTTTTGGCCGTCGCCTCCTCCAGCTTTTGGGTCACATCAGCCCGGTGGGCTCCTGAGCAGCTGGACAGCAGCTCCTCGATGGACTCTCGCTCTGCGTTGAAAGCGCCGACGAAGTAGTCGCCCTTTTCCTCTGCGACAGACCGGCTCTCCTTCGCTTCCTTCCTCCGCTCGGCGTCATCCGTCCTCTCCTGGTGCCGCTTCTGCAGCTTCTCTTGCATCTTCGAGGCGCCGCTTTCCTGGCTAACTACAGCCGTGGCATCCATGTTGTTAAAACTGTCAGATATTGCGGATGTAGCCCAATGACGTCACACGGTCTTCTTCGTTCGTTGTTATTGACAAAGGCAGCGTTGGGGATTCAGAGCGCTTCCTGCTGTCCAGGAGTGTGTACTAAACAAACAGCCTGACGATTTAAAAATAATAATAATCAAACAAAATCCAAAGTCTGATTTTGTTTAGCTATCAAACTTGATGAAAGTGATGACAGCATGCATGTGGCTCCTGTATCTGTAGTCAAAATGTTTTATTAAGGATTGTACATTGTCTTTTTTTCACATAAAATATTATTTAAAAAAAACATTTTTTTGGAATACAATAAAGATAACCATCTCACGAATCTTTTAATGTGTAGAAAACAACAAATGAACATAGTTAAAAAATATATATATTTTTTTGCTTTTTATTCATATCAAAATAAAAATGTGTGGGAAAAAAGCCTTAACCATGTCCTCTAAAAATAAAATATAACAACTATTTTTTATTGTCTATTTTTTTGTATATTCTTAATTTATTTTATTTATTTTTTTAAATTGTACTGTGTTCACTTTTTGTTTGCAATCTTTGCTGCTGTAAATGTCCCCGTTGTGGGATAAATAAAGGATTATCTTATCTTAAGATAACGCTTACTTTTGCTTTAATAAAAATATTTTGAAAAAAACTTACTTGACCCGAAGTTGAATATAGATCTTTTTTTTTTCACCTTCACTGTTTCTTTATAGTAGCCTATAGCATCAATTCACATTACATATATTATATAATAGTAAGATATAAAGGCCTACAGATAGCCTAATAATATTCCGAATTATAAATAAATAAATTATGATATTATCCTTAAAACTCATTTGCCGTTTTGTGTTTCAAACACAACAACAAAGCAATATTTTGACTTAAACTTTTTTTTACCCGAGTTGACAAGAATTCCTTCGCAGGTAACACGTTTATATACTGTAACTATGGTGATACCTGGGTAACGCCAAGGTGTATCAGACACATCAGAGGCCCGCCCTCTACCGTTGGCAATGATTAATTCTATTAATAACATTTATCTGCACTCATGAGGTCAGTTAAGCATTCTATTATAACGTGTATAAATCTGAAAACATGTGATTATAATTGCATTTACATTTTTTATTTTTTTTTAAATTCAAAATCTGTCGGTCGTATCTTCTCGTGGAGGAATGATGATTTTGGGTCGCCTTGTTCTGTGCACTACCCCAACAACCCGTGCGGTGATGGCGAGGAAACCCCGTAGACAAGGCACTGCTTTTTCATGACGGTGAGTTTCCCTTTGAGTGTATTATAATTTTGTGATAAAAATTTCAAGGAAAAAACACACACAACCTCCTTCCTCCCTTCCTTCAGGGAGGGAAGAGAGTTTGAGCGGAGAGAAAAATCTATCCGAGACAGAACAGGGACAGTGAGAAAAAATATATGAGTGGGAGAGGGAGAAGAAGGAGGAGGAGGAGAAGGAGGGGGGGAGCAAATTAAAAGTTGCCAAATGGAGATATTGGGTTTCAAGAGGAGTGAGACAGGAGTAAAAGGGTTTGCCTCTAAGAGTCGTCTTTATGTTTTGCTATTCGGGATTAATATGTATGCCTCGACACGGTCTTGTCCTGTAGGTTTTTGTATTTTCCCCAACGACTTCCACTCGACGTTTCAAAACAGGCGTCGTCTCCACCGCGGCTACAGCTAACCAGAACAGGCCGGTGTTCATCGGGTCTAAAAATGTTGCGGAGCGTCCGGCGTCGGGTCTTCCAGTCCGGCGCGTAGGGTACGGGTTCAAAAAACCTCCCCCCCCCCCCCAACACGGATTGAAACGCGTCGGTTCGACATATCGAGACAAATGTGACGTTTTTGTTTTTTCTTTCCCCCCAATGCTGGCAGAAGAGCCACATAAAAGAGGACAAATGGAAAAGCCTACCCCAGCACAGACAAGAAAGATCACGTCAGAGGACGACCAGCCAGGGCGTTTTTTTTTTTTTTTGTTGCTGCTTGAATGCGATTATCATTCTGTCGATTCTATTTTTGGAAATAAAACTTGCAAGCGGCACATTTAGCTGACTTTCTTAAAGCAATGGAGAAACCATATCAGTCCAGGAGCAAAAAAAAAAAAAAAAAAAAAGAAGGGGGGTGGGGGGGTAGCTGGACTGGAAGCATGCATGCTAGGAAGCCTTTCTGACGACGGATTTCAGCCTCGAATTAAACAAAAACATCCACTCTTTCGGATAAAATTGCTTTATTAAAACAACCCCGACTAAAATTGGTTTTCAATTTTAATGTTTGCATTTAAAGCCACTGTTTAAAGTCCTTTTACATGCATGTAGAGGGAATTCAGCTCTGCCTTGTTGCTACTGTTTGATTTTAACATCGAATATAAACTGCGCAACTTGTTCGCGTTCACGTTAGAATAAACTCACGTTTGAGATTTAATGTTTTAAATAAGTTATTTCGACTGTCGAGAGTCAGAGGGTAGTTTTCTACTGCAATCTATTTAACATTTAGACAGTCCACATTTGGAGGGGAATTAATGAATTAAATTGTAACATAGTTAAATCGTTTGGCCTTTTGTTTTCCTATTTAAAAGGTGGACAGACTATTGTAACAGTTTTGTATCTTTTTTTTGAGACATTGTATCCACATTTGAAGGACAAAAGAAGCCTCGCTGTCAGTGTTTCCGCTCCTCTCTAATTACAAAATGCTATTTATTTGTAAAGGGTATTAAATAAATTACCCACTCTTGCAAAACAAACAGCTTTCGCATTTTTTTCGTGGCATATTCGTGACAGTTAAGCGACTTTTTTTTTTTTTTTTAAATCACATTTTGTTATGAAGAAGCCCTGTCGTCCTTTTGTTCTCCCCTCACCAAAGATGGAGGCTAAACGTGGCTCAGTTGAAAAGACAGCCCATGTCCTGGTAACAGCCATTTTGTAGCATTGCAGTTGTCACGTTGAACACATCCTCAAGAACACACAACCTTCATTTCTGTGTGACTTTTAAAAACAGAACAGCACGTCACATCATTTAAAGACAACTATAAATCATCATTCAAATGCTGGATTTGATTTCATTACATGTATTATTTCCAAGTGTCATTATTACATGAAAGAAATACATAGTACTGGTAACTAGAAATATAAGCCACCCTAACACTCTTATCTCATTACTTAGCTGTTATCACTTCTCACATGCTCATTTATGCTCCTCGTCCATTATGTAGCACCAACATGTAGCTGCGTACTTGAGCTGGCTGACACAACATAAAGCCAACACCTCTTTCAATGTAGAAACTCAAAACAACCATTCAAGGTATAAATGGAGCAGGGTGGAGTTATTTACACTCAAATGCCCATTTTTACTCTGTAAGACAACCAATGTGGGACAGCAGAGGAGGGTTATGGGTGGGAGTTAAGTGTGTCAGAGACAAACATCTGTAGGAGGGGATGAGGGCCATCCTGCTTCCTGCCTACATACAGATCTCCCATAGTACTGAATAACATGCCTGTCCGCCCCCCTTCTTCCTATCCAACCCATATTTCACACACCCATCTCTGTATTTTTTGTCACCTACTTCCCTTCCCCAGCCCTCCCACACAGCCTGTATCTGATATGTGTAATCATGTAATCTTATTAAACGCACCTTCTCACCCTGCAGCCCAGGAAACAAAGGTGTTAAATGACAGAACCAATGCTTCCTGCTGGAGATCTGTGAGTGAGATGTCCTTACTACAACTAACAATGACAGAATGTACATGCAAAACCATTGGAGTGCACACACTAGTACCTCAGAATACAACTAAAACAAGTGATTAATAAAGCCATATTACCCGGATAAATTAAGCTATTCATTTAGCTATTAGTCCATGTAAATTAAGACATGAATCACAAAATCTCTGATTTGTAACAGACGTCCTACTTCCTTTTATCGCTCCGTATTCTTTCAGGTGTCATGGATGATGAGGACGATCGCCGTCTTCTGGATATTTTAGGGTAAAACCCTTTTTTATAAAAACAGGCAATGCAGAGTGTGTCTTGAATCGTTTCCCAACATTATTATGGTTCCTCTTTCAAAGACAAGTATTTCCAAACATGTTAAATATTCCATTTTCTACATCTATTATAATCGTGTTAAGCTATTTTTCTACTAGGCATGAATTTATATATATTTTTTATACTCTTTAAGTATCTGATTAAGGTGTGTTATAAGAATCTAAAACTGTCTTGGTTGCCCCCCCCCCCCCTTTTTTTAGAGATGTGGAGGCACTGAATGACTATCTCCATGGCAGCAACAGCAATTCTGTGAGTGACTCTTCGAGAATGTATTCACAGTCATTCCTTACAAAGTTTGCCCTGAATCGTTCCCTTCGCTCCTTCAATGGATAAACAAAGTTCACTCATTCTGTGTCACACACTTCTTTTGGTTGCTGCAGATTGAGGAGGATGATGTAACGAACGCAGCTTATGGCTCGGATGGATCCTTCTTTACGAGTGACACGGTGAGCGAAGTTGTCGATAATTTTTTTTGCCAACAACTTACCAGGGCCTAAAAAGGGAGAATTTTGCTTTTGGTGAGATTTGAGTAGCAACACAGTTGTAAGGGTTTACTTTTTAAAGGGGTAATCTACTTTGCACACTTAAGAGTTTTTTGTTATAGTTTGGTTTTTAGCACTGGTGGTAAAAAGGATCACAGATGTATGTGGCAGACCTACAGGGAAGGCTGTCTTGTATGCACCTCACATGCAGGCAGCTCTCCGCTTTCTACTCATTTTCTCTAAATGCTTCATTCAGGGTGGCTCCAACTCTGGCCTCAATAATGGCTCCTCTTCAATGGGCGAGTTTGGAGACGATTCAGCAGGGGCAGGCCTCCAGCTTTCCAGCAGCCTTTCATTTATCGAGGATGAATTGGGGCCGGAGACATCTCCTGGAGGGGTGGACCTCGGGGGCGAGGACCAGCCCTTTGACATCCTACAAAAGTCTCTCATGGAGGCTGACATTACAGAGCAGACTTTGGCCCAGGAGGCCTTACTGGACTCCCAGCCAGCTCCCACTCTGGTGCAGGCCCCCGTTCCCTTCCAGTCCCAGCTGGTTCCTGGGAGTTACGGAGGGGGAGTAGGTGTTGTAACCACGACAACAACTACGTTTCCTGCAGGCCAGTTCCTGCAGGGGGTGTCCCAACTGCCCAACGGCTCCGCCCAGCACATCCAAGTGTTGGGCTCGTTCGGGGCAGGCGGTGGCGTGATGACTTTGAGCAGCTTGGAGAGGACTCCTCAGATTGTTTTGAGGCAGGGGGCGCCTGTAGGTGCAACAGGGACCACACCAGGGGGGCAGGTGTTTGCCCCAACCCAAGGGCAGGTAGGACAAGTGGGCTTACCGTTCAAAAACATCCCCCTTCAAAACATCATCATCCAGAGAGGCCCTGGAGGGACCCAGACTCTTGTCAGACCCATCCAGCCCAAACCCCTCCAAGCTGGGGCTCAGACAGTCTACAGCCTTGGCTCCACCACCATGGCTAACATAGTTAACGCTAACACCGCTACACCTGGAGGACATTACACGACTAATGGCTCCATAGTGATGCAGCCGCCCATTGAGCAGCAGCAGACACAGGCCCAGACGAACATAACACCCGGACAGTTCCTGCTGCCCAATTCTTTGTCGCTCACTCCGGCCAGCGCCATCCACAACGGGCCTCTCGACCCCAACTCCAACACCCTCATGTCCAGTCAAAACACGGTACAGATTATCGCCGGGCAGAACTTCACCGCACAACCCGGAGGCCAGCTCATTTTGAATCAGGGCGTAGTCAGTGGGGGTCAAGTCGGAGGGGGCGTCACCCAAACATGGACAGGTGTTACCTGTGCTAGCGCCGCCCCCGTGCAGACGTCATGCGCTCCTGGGCGGCTGACTTTGGTAGGTACGCCGACGGCGGGGGTCGGCTGTCAAGGCCAAGTGACGGCTAGCCCTGTTCAGCGCCTACTAGTGACTCAGACTCAGAATTGCACTTCTCTGTCGCCTATACCTGGAACTGCTGAACAACAGGACTACAGGCAGGTGTGTACGCAGGAAACAGATTTTCTCCTTTATCTTCAACCTTGTGTTTTTGGTGTTACCTGACTGGCATCACTTTCACCCCATTTCAGAATTCTTCATCACCTGCCCTCAAACAGGCACAGCTCAGCAACCTCCAAGGTAACAGCAGCTGATGAATTATGTTGAGCTTGATTCATTTCAGTGTTTGTCTGACTTAATGAACATGCTTTGTTTTGTTTCAATCTCTCTTAGGCATTACAACCATGACCCAAGATTCAACGCTAAACTCTCAGGTATGTCACTCCTTCTTCACCTCATTTGTTTTGCACTCCTGATGATTGGTGTGATAGGGATTACAGAATGCTTATCAGAAGTTTGGTATGTACACTTTATCTTCATAGGTCGGTGCTCAGAAGAGACCCGCCCTTCCACCAATTACAAGAGGAGGAATGTGAGTAACTTTGATCTTTCTGTGTGTTATTCATTTACCTTCTATGTAGATTATCATTCAGCCACTGAAGGTAATCACCTCTTCTCCTGTCCCCTCTGTAGTATTTTACAACAGCTGAGGAAGGATCATAACGGAGTTCACTCTCCAGATCTGCGGCGATTTACGTCAGTCGACGATGCACTGCAAAGACTCCTCCCGTACCATGTTTTCCAGGGGACTCCGCCCAGCCACGATGAGTTCTCACAGGGTACAGCTTTGAATTGATCTGCTTTGACCCCTATATCTGCTGGAAACTCCAGCCCTGTAATGCAGCACGCTTACGCCTTCTTGAGGAAATAACGCAGACATTTGTGTCATTATGTCTACAGTGGACGAAGAATTTGAGGTCGTTGCAACTCAGGTGTTGATGAGGACGCATTCCATGGTGAACAAATACAGACGGCTGCTAATGGTGGAAGCTGAGGTAGCGACACACGTGTAAAATGTTTGCATACATACATACATGCATGTGTTTCATGTTAAAGCATGTTGCAGCATGAACAGGACTAACAGGTTGCCTCTCCATGCCCTGCAGCGTTTTAGCCCGTCATCAGAAATGGTGATGATCGACAGGACCTTCAACCAAGAGGAGCGCGGCAACCTTACCCAAGACAAACGCATGGTACTAGTGGATCCAGGTAAAAAAAAAGAAAATAAAACAAAGATTAAAGGGATTTGGGAGCAAATTTGTCTGTTTTATGTAACTCTTGATGTCTTTTTTTTTTTTGGGGTCTGTTTTAAAGACGGTTTCTTAGAGGATTTCTGCTGTGGGATGAAATCCAAACTTTTCCAGGATCCCGTCCCCTCTCAGTCGTCGTCCAGCTGTAGTAAAAACCAGCCAGACAGAGGCTCCACAGAGCCACCGTACAGGACAGACTCCCAGCCCGCGTACGGAGACCCGGGAGGGGCCGATGCTGCAGGTACATGTGCAGCAGCAGCAGCAGCAGCAGCAGCAGCAGCAGCAGAGTCCAACCCCCGCCCTTAGACAACAAGAGAGTCCTGGAACTGAAGAGATCCCAGCAACACTACGTGCCGAGCAGCAGCGGCAACAACAGCCTCACAGCTAACAGTTCTCTTCAAGGTAACCCCCCGCCTCCCACAGCAACAACAGGCGGACAGACGCACTACCCGGTGTCCCAGCACCCCATCCAACCCCAGTACCCGCCTCAGCTCAGCTCGCCCGCTCCCCCTGACACAGACACTGCTTTAGAAGCGGCAGTCAACAGCATCCTGGAATGTTAAGACTGAATCTCTAATGAATGAACGATTTCACTTCTTTAATGTGTTTTATTTTTTATTTTGTAACTCTCCATTTGTTTTCTATGTTGTTTCCCCTCCTTTAAACCCCGTGTGAAGAGAGGCTAACTCTTCCTTCTGCTCGATTTTCTTTGTGTCACCATCTCCGGCCATGTAGGGTGTCTTTAGGTCTTTTTTCTTTATCATTTGGGGGCAGGGTGGGGTGGGGTGGAGTAATGATGTAGAAGTTAAATGTGCACTTAAAAAGACCTATAAAGACCCGGGAATGCGTGCAATGGAATAGTTTAACAGACGGAAGAAGTTTTGTTTATTTTACTGTTGTTGTTGTTGTTGTTTTAAAGGGTTCGGTCTGGGACTTCAGTAGCTTGAATGAGTTCCCCTCTCTTCACACACACACACGCACACACACCCTTAATATTCTGTGCCAGTTGATAAACCTCACTACCTATGCTGAAAAACAGGGATGAGAAGGAGGAACAAAAAGACGACTCGGTGCCTAATTCTAGGTTTTTATTTGAAGTGTTTACATAAAGAAGCTCTACTCAAAAAAAAACAAAAAGTCCTTTCGCTCGCTCGGCTCTCTCCTGCTTTCCAAACATGCACAGTGCACACAGACGTGCTTTACATCGTTAGCTAGATGAATGGTTCTGAGGTTATTTTCTTTTAAGGGGAGGTAAGTAGTGGACTAATTGCACTAATCGTACTGGCTCATTTTCAGGAACTACATGTTTCCATAGAAAGTGTACACGAGTGCTTAACAGAATGTGAACCAAAATCTATTCGCCTGCTTTCAGCTGCCTGCAACGGGATAACCTCTTCCTCACACTAGAAACCCCCGCCACATAGACATTCATAGCAGTTCTACTGTAAACGGCAATGCTTTTGTTTTCTTGTCACATTTGTTTTTCTTTTGTACCTTAAAGGTATGCAAGCCCCGACACAGACACCGGACAAATCTCAACCTCTCTTTTTATCATTTCACAGTGAGCTTGTGTCATGGGCGTTCAGTCCTCAGATTGAGGAAGATATTTTACAGTATCTTTTATTTTATTTTTTAAATGTTTTTTATTTCCTCATTTTAAGTAATACGAGAAAATATGACTGTTTATGTTGGTTGTGTTGTTCCCCCCCCCTTCCCCCCCCCAGCTCTGTGAACATGACGATGTCTTTGGGGTCATTGATTGTACGTTTGTCTGCCTTCTGCATATAATTATATTATGAACATATCTATCAATCTATCTATGCTTTACAACTTCGACATGTCCGTCAGTGTGTGTGTGTGTGTGTGTGTGTGTGTGTGTGTGTGTGTGTGTGTGTGTGTGTGTGTGTGTGTGTGTGTGTGTCTGTGTGTGTTAATCCACCACACTCAGACACTGATTTTAGGTCTATGTTTTCATGTACTTTGGTCGTTCGATTGCCACACTCTTGACTATGTTCCCAAATGTTCACCTTCCAGCGTTTATCTTCAAGTGTTCCTCACATTTCCTCTCTGAGCAGCGCAACCAAATTTCAAAATAGGAGAGAGTGTGATCGTGTCCAGAATCTACTCATATCTTTATGTCTTTTGCGTTGCTTACAAAACAACGTGTGTGGCTGTTTAAAAAAAAAAAAAAAAAAAAAGAAGTTTTCTCTGCAGCTGTGTCCCTAAAATGACTCCCCACTGTGGTCTAGTTTGTAGAGTTTTCAATTTGAAGCTTCAGTTTTTTTTTAAGAGCCAACACTTGACTTACTGTGATATTTGTTAGGCGTATTAATGAACCCTGAATATTAGCCATGTTTTTTTTTTTTTTTCTGGTTTTAGAATGACATCTGTGAAATAAAAAAATCACAGAAATCTGCACTATAGTTTGAATAAGAACGGGCGTTTTCGTCCACATTCATCACAGGACCAAAGCTTAGGTTAATTGTGTTCAACTTGATTCTGGACAGTGTCGCCTCTCTCCTATAAACGTGTCTGTGAAATATGCTTGCCAATAGGCTACAGAGCAGACTGAAGGCCTTTTATATGCGATGATAAGTTCTGTGTTTGACTGCCAGTGGCCATTACAGCCCGCCTGCATCTCTGCCTATAGACCTCTTCTATGTACCAGTGCACACTGAGAGAACTGGGCTCTCTGCTTTGATAACAAATCTCTAATGGTATGTACAGGCCAAGGGAGATATGGTTTTAGTTTCTCCTACAAGTCGTTGCTGCAAGACTTTGTGCCTCTATAGCACTTATATTCACGAGAAAGCTAGTTTTAGAACTTGCACAACGTAGGGACGTGTGCAGCAGCGTTGGTGAAACATTGTGTTATCATGATGCATATCAGCGTCTTTGAGGGCCTGGTAGGAACAAACTGTGCTTTCTCTCTCCTGTTCTCAATGCAGAGATGTGTTTCTTTCTGCCTACATTTTCACTGTTGTTTTGTCTCACATGATTTGTATAGTTTGTTGTTTTTTTGTATAAAAATGAAAAGTGAAACACAAAATATTTATAATTTTTGTATGGAGAAAAAAAAACAAACAAACAAACAGAAGAATGTAAAAGAAAAAAACAAGAGAAAATGCAAATTATTTTTTATTGTGTTGCCTGAGGAGCGGCATCAGGAAAAAAAACAAGTTGTTACAAAAATACTGTCATTTCTTCATTTGTAGCTAATGTGTGTGTTCACTACAGCAGCAAGGAGAGTCAACAATAAATTCATTTTGAATACAATCACACACTGGTCCAGTCCCAGCTGAAAAAAAAAAACCTCCTTCAGTGTCCCTCCATTACTATTCAGTGAGTGCTCACATACTCGCACTGGCAGACTGAGCATGCATAATGACATCATGTGACAGAGGAAGCTTTTGCAAAACAAAACAGGATTTGTAACCCTCTGCTACACAGATAACATTTTATTCTCACTGATTTTAATGTTAGGACATTTTTTTTTTACTTTCATGTTTCGTTACATTCAGGCTGCCTGAGTACAATTTTTATCGAGTTTAAAATCTCTTTGGTTTCCCCTTTAATCCCCTCGTGCACCCGGTCTCCAGAGCCTCTGCACAAAGCAGCAAAGCAAACTCTGCATAGCAAAACATTTTGACTGCCCAGCCCCTTTGATTTTTAGTAACACAAGAAAACAGTGACACCTAGTGGAGCTCCTGGGAAACACAGCGGCACTGTCATACACGCCCTATGATGACCAAATTAGTCCTTTTCAGTGGTTCCCTGGTTAACCTTTTTCAGTCCTTATATAAGATAGAATAAATAAAATATACATGTGAATAAACGATTTGAAAGTAAAAAGTAATACACACAAGATGCAATACAATGACTACAGCATGTCATTTTAAATGCCCTGAAATGTGCAAATCACTTCAGTGTTAAACTGCTGTCATCATAGTCACAACTGCTCTGGCTGTAAAGGAATATTTCAACTCTTTCGGGAATGACTAGTTCATTTTCTGATGATGAATTCAACTGGATGTTAAGTGCCATACATGAAAATCTGCCCCAAATGAGGCTACACCCAGCAGCTAATTAGCTTTAAAATGAAACATTTTCACACATGCACTCCTGAAAATGTCTAGAACATTTCTGGACAGGCTGCTCCTGAAATCTTCCTGAGTTGCCTGTTCAAGTATGCACCTCACAGCGGGAGACCATCACTTTTAAAAAGGTAAGTGATGCCCTATTTAAATAAAGAAAACGCAACGATACATTTGAAGCATTTGGTTGCGGGATTTGTCAGCATCTGACTCGGCCAGGTGAGCTTTTCAGCGACCCTCCGGTTTGGACCTCATGCTAAGCTAAGCAGCCGCTGGAAGTAACTCCCAGGTAACAAGTATAAAACTTCATCTCATTCTATTGCAGTTGGTATCTCATCCAAACCGTTGTACTTTTGCTATGAATCTTTAAAATGAATGCTACCTTGTTGAGAAACTGATAACAATCAAACCTCTGGAGTAGTTCAGATCTGAACAAATGATATGTAATAAACCTTGAAGTGAAGAAAATGTCGCATCTTCCACAGCTGCTGTTCTCTCACTCAGAGTCTCTCTTGTACAATCATCATCTCCTGGCTTCAGTGGTGCTTCCTCCAGCGATCACGTTCTGGAAATAAACATTAAACAGACCTGCTGAGTTATCTCCACACGTGTGCAGTTTATTCTAAATGCAGCCCCAACTGAGAGTGATCCAAACACTTACTTATATGAGGGTAACTCCAGATGTAGCTGAGCACACAGTATCCTGCTAACAACATGCCCACTCCACCTACACCACCTTTCCTCACATCAATGTACCTCTTGTAATACCACTGCCAGCCTGAGAGAAATACAGAAGAAGAGAGAAAACGTGTTAAACTTAAACTCCAGTTAGATGAGAAGACTGAAGCTCCTCTCATATTCAAATATTGAGATTTTTAAACGCAGCCTTAAAACTCATTTATTCAGTCTGGCTTTTATACAGTGCTTTATTCAAATCTTAACATTATTGTATTGTCTTTTTTATCCTACTACAATTTTAAATATTCTTCTCCTATGTATTCATTTTAATATTTTATTGCTTTTATGTGTCATATTTTATTTTTTCATTTTTATACATATTTTTTTTAATTCTTATTGGTGTGCATTAGTCTCTCTATGATTTTATAAACTACTTTTTTGTCCGTAACTTTTTTGCACTTTGAACAGCAATTTAATTTGTCTGAAAGATGCTGTATAAATAAAGTTTGATTGATTGATTGATATCTGTCCTTTAAATAGCTTAGACCAAGCGCTTGTTAGCATAGCAGAAAGACTTAAAAGAGAGCTAAAAAGCTAGCCTAGCTCCATGCCTTGGTATAAAAGAATAAACTAATACAAACATTTGAATATGTGTGAGATGTGTATGATGAGATTCACCTCTTCGCACCATGTGCACCACATCTCTGGGATGGCTGGGAGTTTTGCAGGCCAGCCACTCAGGTAGCTCCCTCAGTCTCACCTGTCCAAGACCTCGCTCTGTCAGAGCACCTACGATACAAGACACAGACCAAGAACAAAAGCAGACATCCTGATGAATACATGCTAGTTTTTTTCCTTTCTGACACCACTTCCAGTACATAGAATTCCATCAGTCTGTTGAAGACTGCTCTGATGAAGAAAATAACCATAGAATAATGTGTTTAACAGTTGTGTTCTGCTAACCTTGTATGGATTGTATATGATTGCTTTTATGGTTGTAAAGCTTGGCTGATTAGGATAGGATAGGATAAAACTTTATTGATCCCCAGAGGGGAAATTCGGGCGTCACAGCAGCACAGACAAGAAAGCTCAAATACACATTAAACAGAATAGATAAGATAAATAAAAATAAAAATAAAAACAGGGGGTATATACAAGAACAAAATGAATGATGAAGTTAACTGGGGGGAATTGAGAATTGAAACAGTATTTGAAGAGAATGACAAGATAAAGTGACAAGTGATGATTAAAGTGACTTGGTATGATAAATAAACAGCAGCAAGTGATGTAAACAGCAGAGAAGAGAGGCAGTGTTGTACCACAGTACTGCAGAGTGCAGTTATATAATATAATGTAGTATAATATAATATAATGTAGTATAATATAATATGATATAATGTAGTATATAATATAATATAATGTAGTATAATATGATATAATATAATATAATGTAGTATGATATAATATAATATAATATAATGTAGTATGATATAATATAATATAATGTAGTATAATACAATATAATATAATGTAGTATAATATGATATAATATAATATAATGTAGTATAATACAATATAATATAATGTAGTATAATATGATACAATATAATATAATGTAGTATAATATGATATAATGTAGTATAATACAATATAATATAATGTAGTATAATATGATATAATGTAGTATAATATGATATAATATAGTATAATATGATATAATATAGTGCAATATTAACAATATAGTGTAATATAATGAAATGTTATATAATATAGACTAGTACAATAATATTACACTGAATCTTCACTTTAAAAAACTAGCTTAGCATAACGTTAGCTCTCGCTTGAATCACAGCCGGTCCGGAAAAAAACTGACTGGACCTAAAATTGTTCTATTGTGTTTTTAATGGACTCCTTCACAGACGCAGAATCACAAGAAAATACAGGAGCGCACACATTTGTCAACTAATTTGAGTATTTTACCAGAGATGCAGAAGTTGTCAGTTGTTGAATGTTGTTTTTTTTTACACACAATCAGGCAGACAACTGTATTTGAATGCTATGATTTTTTCTTACTTTCATTACTGTATATCATGTATCTATGTAAGACTGTCTTAAAACCCATGAGGTCACTTCACAAACAAGCCCTTAAAACTCTGGACAGGAAACCACAACAGTATCATCATTCTGATATTCCTGATGAATATAAAATTCTAAGCTTTGACGATAACATTTTTTATACCGATGTCCGCTTAGTGTACAAAATAATCCATGATGCCGCTCCCCCCCACCATTGAAAAGCTTTGTGAAACTTCGCTCTGAGCTGACCAGCAGATCTTCAAGGTCTGCCTCTGACGGAGATCGCAGTATTCCTAAACGTGGCTCCGCTTTAGCACAATCTGTTTTTTTTTTTTCTTCTTCGTTTAAAGCCGTTAAAGAATGGAATAGTCTTCCAGCTGGTCTTAAAACTTTGCAACAAACTTCTGCACTTTCATCTGGGAAGTCAAAACAAAAAGGATTTTAAGGAACCAGTCTTGTCAGCGTTAATGTTTCATCTCGACAACCTTTTCGATCTCTCAGGGAAACTTGTACATAATGTTGTAATATCTGTAAATTGTTCTATGTCTTTCTTCTCTCTTATGAAATGTGTGTGTGTGTGTGTGTGTGTGTGTGTGTGTGTGTGTGTGTGTGTGTGACTGGTTGATTTGTCTTTTGCTATTGCCATCATCTGCCCAGGGACAACAGATGGAAATAAGCTCGTACAAAGCGTCTCTTCTCTTCTGAGACTAATGTTTTTTTTGTACACTGTCCGATTCAATTAAACGATTAAACTAAAAAAAACTAAACTAAACAACAAACTCGCTCAGTCCTACTTTTTTTTTTTTTTTTTATCTCTCACATACTGACCTTTTGCTCCATTTCCGGCAGTGTTTTTTTGCCTCCTGACCTCCAGCTGTGACCCATCACCGAATCTTAACATCTCCTCCCTCGCTGGCAGAGCTTGTGGAGGAAGACGTAAAGCGTGAGCGAGCGAGGGGGGTTGACAGAGGAGTCCTGCGTGGCGTTGGCCTGCCTTCAACGCCTCGTTCACCCTGACCGCCGGCGGAGGGGGCGTGGCTTTGTTCACCTGCGATGATAAATAGCCAGAAAGAACGGAAGCCTCGGGGAGTCCAGGCTGAGGGGAAACATGGTGTTGTAGAGGTGTTAAAGTTGCTTCTTTAGACTTTGAACTTTTCCCTGGAGCTGATTGTCGCTCCGCACTTCGAGAACTGTTGCTCGAAAGCTCGTTCGGGGGAGTCTGAGTTGAAACCAAGTTGCTTTCTTCATTTCCTGTTGGAAGCGCAGGTCTGATTTCGCCGCTTAGATCATCGGTTCGAATCTGGCTCAGGATGCTCGGCCTGTTGTGCGGACGGTTTTTAGCGCGGCCTAGAGTGGCTTTAACATCCTGGAGCGTAATCCTACCTTCTGGTTTTGAGAACATCTCACTCACGGGTAAATCTGTACCTCCCACATCAGTTGTTACCCAGAATCCGCCTCTTAAACGTGATTTTGCAGTACGGTCATTTACTTCGGAGTCCGGAGAGGTTTCATTGATTGGAAGAGGAGATGATATGGCGTTCTTTGTCCTCGTCGCCTTCATTTTAGACGCACCTTCGGGTTTGGAGCCCTTAGATAAAAACACAGGATGTGAAGTGTCCTGTCCTAAGGCTTCGTCAAGATTTGTTTTGGTTTCTGTCTGTACGTTTAGAGAGTTTAGAGAATCTGTCCCAAGTGGAGCCGACGCTGAAGGCAGGTCCTCCGGTGCAGATCTGGTCCCCTCCCCTGATCCTTCAGAAACCTGTTTGGACTTTGCAGCCTCGATCAAAGCACGGAGACTCTTTCTTTTGGGCTCCGAGACGTTGGAAGGTGGAGACGGCGACGGGGAGGCGCCGAGTGAGGTAGAGGAGACGATCTTAGCCGCCTTGATTTGTTCCGACAGCTTTTCTTTCTTCTTCTTCTTCGTTGGTGAGGAAGCTAATACCGAACTTGGGGGTGTTGACGGTGGGACTGATGATACAGAAGGAATCTTTGTGCTCTTCTTTGACCGCGGACTTGCTGTCACTGGGAGCGTCTGTGTTGACTTTTCCTCCCCCGCTTTCGCTTGGGACGAGGCGGCGGCCAACCGCGAGGAAGACGGTGTCTGATTTGCTGCGACATCGCGTTTGGCTGGAGGTGCTTTGGAGCTCCCTGCTGCCTTGCAGTGCGGCAGATGACTTTTCAGCCTTTTGTACGTCTTCCCACAGAAAGGGCAGACCTCTGCGGAGAAAACAGTGACAGTGAATAGTTCAAGACAGGAAAGCCACCGGGCTATTTCCAGGCGAAGAAGTTGCTTGGAGACACGGATTAAGATAAATGTGATCAATTCATTAATTATCAACACATTCAGTTATCATGAGGTATATAGGTTGGAAAGAAAAGCATCAAAACGTCAGATTTTGGGCGGTGCCGGTGGCGTAGTGGTTAGTGCAAAAGGCCCCATGTACGGAGGCTGTGGTCCTCGGTTTGAATCCGACCTGTTTCTCCCCTATCGCTACAACAAAAACAAATCTTAAAGAAAAAAAAACAACAACTTCCGAACCTCAAATCAAACTTTAAAATTAAATCAAAGATCAAAAATAGTTGCTTATTAATTCGTGTTGTCAGATTGTTGTTTTGCTCTAATTATGTTTGTATAAATTCACATTAAGTAAAGACATATTTTCCAATAAGTGTCCTTTATGATGTTACTTTGCTTTAAACAGGTTGACCTTGTCACTGAAAGAACAAATCTTCAGGAAGAACTTGAAGAAGCCTGTCAGCTGTTTTTTAATCATGAAGTAATTCCGCTTTCCAACACGAAAACAAAACGCAGACACTTATAATATTGGTTGTCATTATGTCACTCTGTGAATCCCCCAAAAAAACAACACTGTGACACTTACCAGAACTCATTTTTGCACGCGACTGTGAAGCAGCCAATCAGGAGAGAATCATGATCCGAGAGTCAAAGGAGTGACGTCATCTATCCCATCGTATCAACCGTATCAACGCACATGGTCTTAACTTTTATCAGACTTTAGAGTGAAGCACGTTTTCACATTCAGAGTCGTCACAGAGTGTTACAGTAAAACGGAAAGGCCCCCTGTAGGGAGGTAGCGCGTTAGAAGCCTGAACACAAATTGCTGGGGGAAAACAAAAAAAAAAAAAGTCGCTATTTAGTTTTTATCTGGATGAATCGCTGTTGTTTAAATCAGCAGCATAGACTAGATTCTTTAGAGAAGGGAATTAACGGGGCTGTCTGATACACACATAAAGAGTTAATCGTAGACCTGCTGTGATACTGAATTAATCCGATGAGTGGGTGTGTCATTCGCCGCTATCTACTTCCGGTTTCGCCAGCATCCCAAAATATACGTGTTTTGATATATATATATATATTATATTTTTTTTTTTAAAGAAAGGCGTCCGAAACGTTGATCAGTAAGAATTATCATAAAATAAGCACATTAAAAAAACTTCTCCAACGACAATAAAAAAGAAACAAAAATAATATATAAAGGAACTTTGATGTTTCTCGAGCTTCTGATGGTCTCCAGGCAACAGCGAACTGATCATTATGGTGTATTGTACGATTCAAGCAGGGAACCATGTTTGACTTTTGTTATATTTTGTTAGTAGGATTACAAAGACATGTCTCTTTACATTATTGTTTCTTTTGACAAAGAAATATTTTTGTTATATCTCCTTGGAAGAAAAATGTATAAGGATGTTGATCCTAGAATTTAAACTCAGGGCACCTCATCCTTTTTTTTAAATTTTATTTACCATTCATTAGTCACCTGTCGAATTTCATAACCATGTATTTAAATGATGTTCAGTTCAAGTTTGAGTGGTTGTTAATTTTGTATTTCAATTTAATGCACATCCCTAAGCTAGTACTGGGGGGGGGGGGGGGGGGTAGCTCAGTAGGGACTTGTTGGGAACCAGAGGGTCGCCGGCTCAAGTCCTGGTGCGGACCAAGAGTGGAAATCGGTCTTGTTGCTGGAGAGTTCACTTCTGGAGCACGGCACCAAACCCCCCACCAGTTTAGGAGCGCTCGCTGTGAGCAGCTCCCTCACTCTGACCGTCCCTCCATTAGTGCACGTCTACAGGACCCCGTTTGTGCATGTTGAACAACAGAGTGTATTTGTTTCATGCTCAGGTGATACAGTCTAATGATAGCACTGGCTATATAAAGAAAGAAGAGCCTCTTTTCATTAGAAAAGTGTATTTTATTGATAGGGTTAGAGTGGCATGAGACTTGGCACGGGGATGAATTTCACCAACGTGATGGAAAAAAAAAATTACACAAAAATATGTCTACATCAAAAAGTCATCTTCATTGGAAAAGCATTGATTTGAAACACATTCAAAATCTGGGGGGAGGGGGAAGGCTCTTTCTACAACCATTCCATTTACATATATGGAGTTAAACCTGAATATTATTTACATGGCAACAGCTTACAGTATGTACAAAGCCAGGGCTGGAAGTGAAACGAAGCTCACAGAAGCTTTATATTTGGAGGAAAAAAAAACTACAGACACTCGATGTGAATGCCTGGGGTGATCTGGCAGAGAAAAACAGATTTGAACAGTGGAAATCTGCCTGGAAGTTGTCCTCTAACAACAATTGGCCCCCAACAGAATACACTAATGTATTCAACTCCAGTGGGTTTTTTTTGTCGACAATTTTTTTGACAAATTCAAAAATGTGTGTTTTTTTTTTTTTTTTTAAAAGGGGAACTCCAAACAGCACTTGATTGCATTTTCAACGACACCTGGAGATATAACTCAGTGCCAACACAGATATTGTCACAGGACAGGTTACATGTTACCTTAACAATGTTGGTTACAGTATATTCTGACAATCTAGAGGAAATCTCTGTACATTTATTAACAGACATTCATTATTCAGGCGAACTGGGGAGGTGTGTCCCTTTACAAGGCATCTAATCAGAGATGAAAACAAAGAAAAGCCAGGTGGGTGGGGGGGAAGGGGGAGTCTGGGTCCACGTTCAGGGTCAAGGCCAGGAGGATACAGTACCAAACACCGCCCCGTGAACTGTACTCTGGCCTGGCTGAGTCTGGCCCCTCTGTCACCCAGAGAAAGATCAGATTATTCCACCAACATGACATCAGCATTAACGCTGGTTTGGATTCAACCCTGAGAAAACAGTGGACTGCAAGTTCACGTGCGAGCACACCCTGCCTAATGTGCCAACGAAGGTTAAGTATTTCCTCTAAACAGCCAAAAATAAAATACAAGACAACTTGCATATTAATTTACTGTGAAAGACAGCTAAGATTGACACAGGCACAAAAGCAGGATAGGAACAGTGATTAGGTCTCCTTAAGACATTATATGGAAAGGCATCGAGGGTTCAGTCTGGCGGTTATGCCCTTATTTCTAAAAAGAAAATAATAATTACACAGACAAGGTGCCGGTGCTGGAGCCATTCTCCAAGCCACATTTTATCTTTTTTTTTTTTTTTTTTTTTTAAACGTTGTGAGCAGAATCGGCATCATTAACCTGTTCACTGTCCAAGAAAAAAACATTTCTGAGCTGACACTTTCAACCAACTGATCTGAAAACAGAAGAAGTGTAGACTTTCAGTGTAGGGAGCGGAAGGAAAAAAAAAAGAACTTGTGCAGTCTCTGGATTAGCATGAAGTGGGAGAACCCTTTTACAAAGAGTGTGTGTGTGTGTGTGTGTGTGTGTGTGTGTGTGTGTGTGTGTGTGTGTGTGTGTGTGTGGGGCTTTTAAACAAGGCTCACAAAGCAGCACAGGAGCGTGCAGAAATAATGGAGTGATTTTAGATTTAAGGAATCAGTGCTTGGACACAGACTGGCGCATCTTTTGGTCGTTTCGGCGATCGAACTCTGTTGTTTGCAACAAAGCACTCATTACAGTATTCCTGTATTTGTTGTAAATGTGGTTTAGAAACCGTATGCCCCGTTGTGAAATGTTCTGCTGGGTTTCCACAACCAGGCGCTGACGTTGACATCAGCACCGGCACCTTGTGAGTCGAAATGCCCCGGTGGGTCGTCTCAGCGCTCAGGCCAGAGGAGAGAGTCTTAAGAAGAGGCAGCAGAGATCAGATGTTTTCAAACACCCGAACCGCCTTCTCGTCTTTCTTTATAACCGCAGACAGTCTGTCCTACTGACTCGGCCCCCCCTACTAAACCCTGGACTAACAAGAAGGCCATCTCTTCAAAGAGGAGAGTAAAAACTAATATAAAAACGGCTGGAGAAGAACGCTGATCTCTGTCGGATTCTTCTAAGGCTGGTCTCTCCCGAGTCCCTCGTCAGGAGCGAGTCGGTGGTTTGTCCCCCGTTCAGGTCCTCCACGTTCACAGGTGGACAGGGGTCATTGGAGCATGAGCTGTTTGAGGTTGTCGTGCAGGATGGTGTCTTTGACGTCCCGGAACACCAGCCGGATGTTCTCCGTGTTGATGGCCGTGGTGAAGTGGTGGTACAGGGGCTTCTGGGTGGCGTCGCGCCTCTTAGCCCGGAAACACTCCACCATGAACGCTTGGATCTCTGGCAGGCTGTGCTCGGGCCCGGTGTATTCGGAAAAGTAGTCCTTGAGCGCAACGTTCTTCACCTTCTCCTCCAGCAGGTCTGTCTTGTTGAGGAAGAGGATGATGGAGACGTTGACGAAGACGCGGTTGTTGACGATGGTCTCGAAGATGTCGAGCGATTCGCGCAGCCGGTTGGTCTGCCGGTCCTCCATCAGCACCTGACGAACACAACGGAGCGATTAAGGACACAACCACTTGTTCTGATAGTGCTGCTATAATAAAGTTCTAAACAGAGTCACAAACTTAATGAACCCTGACAAACGCGTCCGACTAAACGTTTCAAACCCTCTTATGTGAGCGTGGGACAATAAGTCGGCTCTTATTTCCTCTCAGTTATTCAGTTTGTACTCCTGTGATCCAGGCAGAAGCTTCAACTAAACAACACTGTCCATCAATCTGTCAATTAATAATCCAATAATCAGTTCGTTTGGTTGGTCCACAACCCAAAGAGAGTCAGTTTCCTGTCATAGAGGAGTAAACTAAAACATGAGCAGCCATTCTTAAGAAAACTGAAGTGATCTTTGAACTTTTTTGTTCTTAAAATAAATAACCAAATCAGTCATGAAGTCTAAACAAAAGCTACAGGTAGGACTGGGCGATAGGTCTAAAAATGTTATCATGGTAAAATATTTCATATCAGTCCCTGTGATTGGCTGGCGACCAGTCCAAGGGTGTAAGCCCGCCTCTTGCCCAATGACAGCTGGGATCGGCTTCAGTCCCGATTTTTGCACCTGAGTGAGTTTAGCCGCTTTAACCTTTCTTCACCGTCACAACATGACAAACTCTCATTGAACAGAGGAACGTTTCACATATCATAAGCACAGTGCACGCTGCTGGAAAACACTGAGGAAAGTCATATAGCCACGACTACGGTTAATCGTTTAATCGCCCACGCCTGGCTAAAGGGACGTTTCTTAAAGATGGGAAGTCTTCCACTTTTCAAATCCTTCAGAAGAAAATGTATGCAAACTTCAAAGCTATACTGGCAGAAAATATGAAGAGTAAAACGGCTGCCATGTTTTGGTTACACTATCTTATTTTAAAACAGGCTGGAAATTAAAAAAGCATTATGAAACATTATTCACTTTTCTATAGAGTCATTTTTGTGCCAGACAAACTGCACGCTGTTGAAACGCCCTTTTTAAAAACATCCATTTCAAAGATTGTTTGTGAGTGATATATGTGATTGTTAAAAGAAGTCAAGGTGAGGTTGTTGTTCTCCTCTACACATGATCAGGACAGAATCAGCAGAGATAAGACTCAACACTTTGACCCACACCAAAAGTTCCTCACTGGAGCTTTAACATAAACAGGAAGCAGCCAGTTTAACACCAAGTATTGAAATGACCAGCATGTGCATACGTGTTCAAACTAATGACTTATCAATCTTTCCAGCTAAATAGTGCTCGTGTGTGTCACTGATCATGAATGAGAATGATACGAGCAAACCCTCCTGATGCAGCAAAACCCTGCTGGAAGACCCCCTTCATTACCATAGCTACGCTCGTCCTACAGCTAAACTATGTCGTGTCACCGGCTGAACCAGGTCAGCGTGAACACACATCATTCACATGCTGCTCTGTGGTGAGGTTTGGCCAAAGTAAAGGAAAATGAATATAAACTGTGGTTAATATAATGTGAGGTGTCAGCATTCACTTGTTAATCGTTTAGATTTTTTAAAATGGAGATTAGTCTCATGCTGCCCCCCCCCCCCCCCTTCAGGCAAACCATGGATTAACCTCCGCAGGGGTCTCCCCCGTAG